TATAATAGAAACAAAGAGTTGGTAAGGAGGATAAAGGAATCATGAACTATATTTGGGAAATTGTATGATTTGGGCCCACAGAGGCTAAAATAAGGGGGAGTATGCTGCAGTAGCCCAGGCTAGAGAAAAGCACAGAGGTGACAGTAGGAACAGAAAAGAAGGGACAAAGTTATTGCTGATGAAGGTGAATATATCCAACATAACAATGGCAAGGCTGAAAAGATGGTGGTGTTGGTGGCACAAACTCCAGCGCTGTCTGGAGTCTATAAAGGGTCAAGATAAGTCTGAGTATGGGTCTAGTTCTGCAATCTCTTTCCCTCCTCATGCACTACACCACATCAGGGATTTGATTTGCCAGGTACTCTGCAGGAGAAAGATGGCAGTCTCCTATAAAGATTTACAGCCTTGGAAACTTGATGGAGTGGCTCTATGAGTTGGTTTGGGCTTGTAAGCCATTGCTTTTCTTCTTCAAAGGTATTCTCTGGGTATTCTCTCAGGTCAATGCCCTGAGCCACCAGAGGTCACTAAAGCCAGTTAGTTTAGGAGTCTGAGGCCAAAGGATCAGTTAGCAGTAAATGCTTCTTAGAGTAAGTGAATGACTCTTGATTTTGCTGTCAGCTAAGCAGCCTTACTATTTCTACATATGCTACTGCTAAGCCGCCATCTCCATTTGCAGCTTCTATTTTTTTGAACAATGATTAAGGTGTATCCTCTTTTCCTTGTTTCATCATCTCAGCCAGCTCAAGTCCTCTCATTTTTCTAAATTTTTACTATTATTCATCTCATTTAAGTCATCCACAGCATCTGTGTCGTCATCCAAGTCAGTGAAGAGAAGACTGAATGAGGTCACCCTCTCAGGAATCCACTTTCTAATAACCATTACTGACCAAAAGATTATAGGCTATGTTTTACTGAAATCCAGAAGCTGTATCCGGTCATCCAGTAGATTCCTCAATAATACAGTGACTGTATTATAAAAAGCCATGTAATTTACATATGCTACATATGCAGGGTAGTTTGGCTTCCCTTCCAAGCAAGAGCTCCTAAGCCATCTCTTAAACTAGCTTTTAGAAATATGGTCCAGAATCCACTTGGAATCTCTTCATTCATCTCCCCATTTACCAAAAAATATTTGTCTGTTCCTTTATTTCTAGGATAACACAAAATTGAGCAATCTCATCTAAAACGTGTAGTACTTGAGCCTTGGCCTCAGAGTCCATCCATATTTTAGATCTTTGCATCCACAGATCATCTTCACACAAGATGACGAGGCTGTTTCAATTTTAACAGAACTATCCCTGTTGCTTTCACCAGTCAAACAATCCTGACAAGTTCCTGAGGCCAGTGCCTTATTCTCGAGTTCAGTCTTTATACCTCGGAGGACAACTCATTGGGATCATGTACAGGATATTTTTCCCCCTCAACTTTTGTCGGAATTATGGTCTCTCATAATATTATCTTCTCTTTGTAAACAAAGGCCTGACTAGGCTGGCTCTTTTACCAGTAATGGTTGCTACAACCTTAAAAACCACTTGCAACCTCCCCCAGGAGTCTGGCCATATGTACTCCACCAACAACAACTTCTTCTGTTACCTTCCAGAGAAGTAATTTAGTGGAATAGCCTATAAATGGAAACTCTAAAAATGCTCCAAAGGCACTTGATCTGCTAGGTTCAATAAGTTCAAATAACAGGAAAACATATTTCAACTCCAATAAACAGCCATATTTTACTGGTATGAATTGTCTAGAGATAGAGATTTCCATTATCGATTTGGTTTTTGAACAAAGGCTGACCAAGTTTCTTGGACGTTTACTAAAATGTAAGACCCCAAATGATAATCAGAGTCTTTATGGGAACTACAGTTCCTCTCCTGGTCTAATCCTTATCAGTCTTCACCTCATTCACTCTACTGAAGCCATTCACAGACTTTAAGCTCCACGAACAGGCCAGGCAAGTGGGCTACTTTACACCTGCTGCTGCTTCTTCATCAGGTTTTTTTAACATCCTCAAGCCTCTATGCAAATGCCATTTTCTCAGACATTTCCCTGGCCAATTTAGAGGCTAGAAGGAACTTGACCCTTCAAATGGACTTTTCTCCATTTTTCTCCTTGTTGTTGTTATGTGCCGTCGAGTCGCTTGTGACTCATAAGGACCCTACGTACAACAGCCCTAAACCCTGCTCTATCCTGTGCCAATTGCACTGCCTCTGACACACCCATCCCAATTACGCCAATCACTGAATCAATCCACCTCGTAGAGGGTCTTTCCCTCCTATGCCGTCCATCCACCCTCCCAAGCATGACATCCCTCTCCAAGGATCTGTTCCTTCTTACAGCATATCCAAATTATGTCAGACGAAGCCCCAGAATCCTTGCCTCCAAGGAGTAGCCTGGTTTAACCCTCTCCGGGATGAATCTGTTTGTTTTACTCCTTAGCACTTATAATAATACTACGTATTTCACTGTTCTTGTTTATCATCCCACTAAAGTCCATTAAGAAAAGTAAAAAAGAATTTTCCTTTTTATTCCTAGACCCTAGAAGAATGTTCAGAATGAAAACAATACTCCGGGAACACAAGACTGCAAAAATATTGCGTTTTAAGAAGTAACATCAACAAAGACAGTTATGACATGAAAATCTGTTCTTCTGAGGTTATAAAGAGGAGGTGGGAATTAGCTTTTGGTAGAGAATACAGGGGAATCAGTTTCTGGCAGGGGATGGGGCCCTGATGGCATGTCTGAGGCCTCAAGTCTACAGATTTAAAGTGGGGCCCAGAACAAAGGCTGCATTCCAAACTTAATACTGTAAACTATTGGAAGCCTAGTCCCTCATTTCTTTCATCTTCCTGGCATTCCAAATGAATAAGCATTTATTTGGATGAATGCTTTTTTTGCATTCATACTGCTATATACTATTGTATATATATACTATACTGCTATATACTATATACTGCATACTGCTCATTTCTTTTTCAAAATTATTTCTCTCAAATAAATATAAACAGACTAGCAGTTTCATTCCTTTTTCTTTTGAAATAATCCACATACACTATATAGCTAGCATCCTGGAACATTTAAAAGAACTGTATTAATTTATGTTAACAGGTGAAATAAATGACAAAAATAAATGCCTAGGCAACTTTTTATGGATAGCAGTTCATGGAGTAGTTCTTAGGTATCAAACCAGAAAACTAAAACCCAGACTCTAGCGTAGAAGAAACAAGATAACTTCCTCTTGATTATCATTGTTCTCTTCCCTCTTGACTTTTTAAATTCAATTAAAAAAATAAACCAAGAACCCAACTAGAATTCTAAAAGCATGAACCATGTTACCTACATTCTAACACTTACCATGAGATTTTATTTAACAAATAAAAGTTCATACCATGAAGAGAAAGCACAAGTGCATAAGGGAAGGCAGTACTGGGGCCAAGTGCCTTAAAATTTATGAATTTTTTTTTAAAAGTGCTCAGTCACAGGAAAATTAAAATGAGTTCAAGTTAAATTACAACTATGGGCTTTTACCTAAAGCATTAAAAATATGGTATAAAATGATTAAATATGCCTATGCTGAAGACTGTGACAGTGATGTGCCAATCGTGGTAATGGGTACCCATGGTGGACAGTGTTGGCTGCAGCTTCCCGACTAAAACATGCCTGGAAGCAGGAGCGGCATCCACTTCGGAAATGGCTTGCCTCCAGAAACTCTATGTATGAACAGTGCTCAGGCCATTCGTTCATAGGGTCGCTATGAGTCATCTACGACTTGACGGCACCATACAACAACAACATAATGATAGGCATTGCTCCACCTGCAATAATTACTAGCAGCCTTGTCATTTCAGATGCAAGTCCTCTGTCCTACAGAAGGCTTATATTCTTTCCCAAAACATCTCTGACCTACTTATGAAATCTACTTGGAAAATATTCTTCAACAGTTAAAAGTTATTTCTCATTGACCCTGGAAGCAATTTTCAAAGGAATCATTCTATATGTAATTTACAAGAACTATAAATTTAAAGAACTTAAAGAACTATAAATTTGTCAGATGACTGGTAAGCTACAAATGGCCAATTATTAATTATGTATTAATACATGGAACTCAGAAATTTGGAGTAATTTCAGTTTTGCACATTTTTAATTTTTAAGCTTCATCTATTTGACAGTTTTAAACTTTTTCAATTTCCCCCATTTTTCTAAACAGTAACATTCAATCAGGAATATTGACAATTAGGCCCTCTAGGATTCTTTTTCATGATAATAAATACAGAAAAGATTTCCCTTTTTTAAGAATATACTGCATTTTCAAGAAAATACTGCCCTTATTTCCTAGTTAACATCAAAGACACACCAAATCTGACATTAAATATTGAACATGTTGCCAAAATACACAAACTGGAATTACAGAATTTAAAATTTTCTTATTGTTCAAGTGACAAAATGTTTATATTTAAAAAAAACCCGTAACGGACCTTCCACCTAGACTTTTTTTTTAAACAACCAATCCTAGGGTAGAGCCCAGGAAACCTGTTTTTACCTCTCTTGTGCCCAATCATGACCATGTGCAAGTCTTTCTGGACTTCATTTTCTCATATGCAGAATCCCTAAGATCCTTTCCAGCTCCAAATTTTTACAATCCATGCTCTCCTCATAACAGTAAGTTCTTGCTCATTTTAAAAGCATATCAAAGCAAGGCCCCATGTACATATATGATTGGTTTATAAGAAGAGATCCTGATGTGTGACACAGTATACATTGACAAACAATTCAAATCATGTTCATTTCTAATGACACTGGAAACTTTAAAACAACCACTTAAAGCATCATTAGTCTAAGATGGCCACAGCAATTTCATGGCAATATAAAATTCAATAATTTTGAGAAATATTGAAGTATCCATAAACCAAGGGGCACATGGGGTCTTATCCCTCTTGCCCTTCTCTGACCTAACATTTGACAGGATTCAATTATGCCCAATTGGAAAGAGGGACAGTACCTACCATGCCATTTGCCCTTATAAACAGTCCCAAATGATCCTGATCCAATTCGAGTAGAGAGCATCACTTCACTGGCTTCTATTTCCCAATAATAGCTTGAATCTCTCTGCCCACGAGGCCTCTAAAATAAGGAGAGATCATTTTTATACTTCATGGAATGATAATGATCTATTTTGTAAGGGCATCAAAGAAAATACTTACTTTGTCCATTCTCTTATCTTTCAAAAATAGTCAAACAAAAGACCCACTACCAATGACTTATTTCTGACTCAGTGGGACCTTACTACACTGAATAGAACTGCCCCATAAGGTTTCCAAGAGTGTGCATCTTTATAGAAGCAGACTGCTGCTTTCTCCCTGGAGCAACTGGTATGGTCAAACTACTGGCCTTTTGGTTAGGTAGAAAATGCTTTAACCACTGTACCACTAGGGCTCTAAAGAGGAGCCTATCAACCATAATTCTAATTTGTCATTTGAGAAAACTCTTTCAATTCTAATGTGTGCCCTGCTAGTTGTGCACCACCTCATACAAAAGCAAACTGGTAAACTGATCAGCACTGGCCAGTGTATTTTAGCATGTTGTTGTTATGTACCATTGAGTTGGAATCAACCCATAGCTGACCCTCCAACGGTTTTTTAGAGGCAGTTAATCGCCTGGGTAGAGACTGCCCATCTTTCTGCAGAGCAGCTGGTGGATTTGAACCCACATGCCTTTGGGATTGCAGCACAGTTTCTTGCCACCAGTGATTTCCCAAAATTTAAAAGAATTCTAGTTTCCAACTAGATTTTCCTTACTGAGCCCTAACCTGTGAGCAGTACTACTGGCTATACTCACAATTTTGTTTTTCTCCTGGGTCCCGGAGATTGGCGCCCGCTCTCTCTGTACTGGCACAGGGGTTCGGGGATGTGACCAGCCTGTTGGACTCAAATTGTTGGGACTGCTGGACAGGGGTGAAGGTGAAGCTTAACAGACAAGACAAACAGAATCCATGGATAAACATATAGATGAATCAGTCAAAAGATATACAACATAAAGAGGAAAAGCTATTAATATTTGCTTTTTGACTATGGACTAGTACCTGATTCACTGTGACTTCGAATTGCATCCTGAAACAGAAAAAGGAAAGCTGGTTAACTTCTGTATTAAAGGAGATTTTCTTAGGGACAGGAAATGAAAGGGGGTTGGATTTGCAGGAATAAAGGTGATTATAAAACCTCTAAAATAAAAAACAAAGAAAAACCCCCTGTAAAAAAAAAAGTTTTACAAACGCTCATCAATTTTTCTTTGATTCAATTCACCAAATGTTTATAAAATTGTCTTCATCAAATATTTGTTGTTGTTGTTGTTATGTGCCGTCGAGTCGTTTCCGACTCATAGCGATCCTATGCACAACAGCCCTAAACCCTGCTCTATCCTGGGCAAACCGCACCGCCTCTGACACACCCATCCCGATTACCCCAGTCACTGAATCAATCCATCTCATAGAGGGTCTTCCCCTCCTGCGCTGTCCCTCCAC